CAAACTACAAACATGTTAACGTTTTCAGGATATCTTACTCAAAGTCCTTAGATTTAGCTCCCCAATATTTTACAGAAAACTGACAGTTCACCAACGCTAGCATAGCTTCCACTGGCTTTTCTAACATCTGCTTGGCCTCAGTCGCCATCTTCTTCAGCTGACTCCATGCTGATATCTCGGTCACTTGCGTAGTAAAATGCTGCCAATGGGAAGATGTCGTTGATGCAAAACCAGTCCCCTGGATCAGGCTGTTTGGAAGGTTGACCTCAGCACTGAGTCCGCACCAGTCCCAGTCAAATCAGCCCTGTCCGCACAGGTGGAAGTCCGGTCCCTTCTCAGCTTCTTTCCGCTGCTGCATGGAAACGAGCAACCCTCGGTCCTGCAGAGCTGGAGACCTCCAACTCTGAGTCTGGCGTCTCACACAGACCCAAAGTCCAGGGAGCTATCAGGTCGCACAAGCAAAGATAACCAAAGCCCAGAAACAATGCAACTGCTGCAAGAGCTTACAATCTAGGTCTAAAATAAAATTACTTCCTTAAACATCAACCACCACAGCCATCTTCTGCTTTACAGTGGCTTAAACAAAACCTAGGAGATTTCTACCTTATTTTGTACCTCCTAATTCTTATTTTCTACCACTTATTTCTACTTATTTCTCTATTCCGACAGCTTATTTCTATCGCTTATTTCTACTTATTTCTCTATTTCTACAGCTTATTTCTACCTTACCTATCTTTAGCTTAACAAAACCTAAGAGATTTCTTATTTTCTACTGTTTTCTACCGCTTATTTATTTTTTATTTTTAGGGATCCACTTCTTTTCATGCTTTTCTACCTCACCTCTTGTCTATTTTTTACTTATTCTCTCCTTAAGAAATTTAAAAATGCTTCAATTAAGCATTATTCCCATGTTTTACACCGAGCTAATTTACCACACTTCGGCTCCCTACCTTATTTTTGTTTTTTGGCCTTCTTACTTTTGCTTTTTAAGCTTAACTTCTTATTTTCTTACTTTTGTTTTTTAAGCTTACTCTCTGCGCGCGCCTTGGAGCCTCCTTTCACCTGACCACTTTTTAAATTCCCCCGAACTCAGG